ACCCCGCCCTTTTTGGCCCAAGATGGCTCCAAGAGAGCCCCAGATAGCCCAAGATGGCCTTCAAAATTGCCTAAGATAGCCAAGCATGGCTCAAGACAGCCTCCGACAGCCCTCCAAGAGGCCTCAAGGCAGCCTCAAGATGGCCCAAGATAGCCGAGCATGGCTCAAGACAGCCTCCGGCAGCCTCTAACCGAGCATGGCTCAAGATAACCTCCAAGAGGCCTCAAGAAAACTGGCAATCAATTGTGGGTGGGCTGGTGGGGATATTTTTTTGGTTCGCGGCTCCGAAGCGAGGGACATGGAGCGGGCACAACGTCCGGGGCGCGGTACGTAAATAATTGGCGCGAGATTGCCGCAGACTCCAGCGGACAACACACGCAGTAGCGCATGCACATGCCAGGGACAAAATGCCCCTCGTTGAAACGCAGTTCAGCGTCTGCTGGTGACCGGCCCAGACAGCCCGGCTGGTGGGGAAGCAAAAGGCGCGGCAACAGGCAACGGAACGGGGGGGAGAAGTCGCCCTTGCGGCGCCAAGCTCCAGCCGAACCGCAATCGGAAGCGAGGCCAAGACGGACAGCAAGGCACAGTACAGGCCACGGGCAGAACGCGAGTCCGAGTGGCCAAAGACCAGGCGGAACCCACGTGTGTGCACACAGAGCCAGGCCGTCCAAGACCTCGGAGAAAGGGGGGGTGAACGCGAGCGAGAGCAACTAACTCAGACTCACTGCAGCTCCACGAGCATACGATGGTACGGCGAGGGAAACCCGATTCACCAAGGCTCACTGAAGCTGGGGTGTGGCTGATCCGCGTCAGAGCGCCATCCAGTAGAGGCAGACCACTGGTGTGCGTTCGCGAGGCTCAGCAACCTCCAGCCGGTAGCCTATGCGCTCACATCGTATCCGAATCACGCTGTTCGGGGGCACAGCGATGCAATGTACTGACATGGGCTGGTGGCTGTGGCTGCGCCACAAGAGTAAAACGAACTCGAACCGCAGAAGGCTGAACCACTCAATGCAGGGCCGCTCACTTAACGAAGCCAATCACCAGGTGTATGGCGGACAGCCGCACCCACTCAACACCTGCCACGCTGCCCTCGCAGAAGCCGAATACCTCCGACTCCGGGGCGAACCGATGGCTGGCAGCTGCAGGGCTGCTGGGCCGTACCGTTCGCTGGCGGCGTGCTGACGGCGGGCCAGGACGTCCTTGTAGTAGAACGAGCTGGTGGGGATACGCGAAACGTCAAGAATTGGTAATGCGATGCTAATACAAGACACTTTCGGCTGCAACGGAAAAGTGGCTATGGCCCCGGGCCCGCGGGAAACCACCACTACGATTAAAATCGCGAAGATACTGGCACACGTGCCCCTGGTCCGTGAGACGGGGGATATAAGGAGGAGACGCGGAGGAGCAAAACGGGGAAGCGGACCCTGCCACTGGGTTCTTCGGCGGAGCTACCTGTGGCCATGAAGCATGTTAAAAGTGTGCCGACCACTGGGAACTTTTTGTGACATTCCCTATGGGGTCACCAAGCGTGTGAGGGGTGTGGCAAAATGGGTGCGGTGGCGCCATGCGGATTCTCCCACTAGGGCTTGTGGTGGAGCTCCCTATGGGGCCGCGGAGCGTGTGAGGGGTATGCTGGTGTGCCGAAATGTGTGCGGTGGTGCCATGCGGACAATCCTTTGCAAAGCAATGCGAAATGCACTTTGCACGAAACTCTTAATCATGAGCGGACGCCCCAAGCCGACGTTTCACGGTTTCTCGACAAGTACGGCGAAAGGTGCCAGCGTTTTGCCTGCCGTGTGCAGGCCCACCATCACTGTGAATAACAAAACCAAAACTGACTTTGTCAGGGACGGCCGGGGGGCGGCGCCTGGTGTGCGCAAGCCCATCATCCCTGTAAAAAACGCATGTAAAGTTTGCAAGTGCACATCCGCACACAATACACAATGCTCGCAAACCCGCCGTCAGCTTGCATTGGCTTCTGACAGGGATTCTTGGGGATCTACATGCTGGCCAATGTGGTGCACCTGGCTGGCGTATGCACTGGTGCCCCATGGTTTTCGATGGCGGCCCCTTTCCATGCTGAGGCTTGGGTGCTACTTCTGTGAGTGAGCGAGACGACTTGCGGCTTGTGGGTACGTTGATCCTCCCCCTACCCTCTCTCCTGGGGTCTGTAGCAAAGTTTCGCGATGTGGCTCCAAGAAGGCCTCATATCATATAAGGTTCCTGGAACTTGGAATCTTCTGAAACGCCTGGGCACTACGAAATTCTTGAACTCTCCCCCATTTTGTCTTCCAGAGATGTTCCGAAGAGCGCTCCAAGTTCTTGGGCTCCAGGGAAGCGGGGCTACCTGAATACCTCTCTTTTTTGATCTATGTCCTTTAATATGGCCCCCACGGCTCCAAGGTGACCCCGATATGGCCCAAAGAGGACCCCAGAAGAACCCCAAAAGCTTCCACACTTGCCACGTACTTGCAAACTTAAGCTGCCAAGAAGCTCCCGAATCGAAAGATCCGAACTGGGCTTGCTGGGTTCCCAGTTGATGCCTGGGTTTGCTCAGGCTGCCCAAACTTTGATTTGACGGCTGCCCCCCTCTTTGATCCGCTGCTTGCTCGTGTGTCCCGCATGCAAGGTAATGCGCTTTGTCATCGTTTCTGGATGGGCTGGTAGGGATACACGAAACGTCCAACCTTAACTTACGATGTCTGGCCACCAAGCGTAAAATAAAATTCAGCTTAACTCAATACACCACCCCCTTCATGACTGACAATCTTGCTAACACCAACGTACATGCCCTCCCGCAACCTATGTGTACACGTGAGCTTGACTGTCGACGTGCATGTCAGACGGGGCATCCACGAGAGAACAAACAACAACCACAAAAAAACCCACGGGACGACTATGCGGCTGTCCGCGAGACGACCCACGAGACAACGACGGGGCAGCACGGGACAATCACAAAACAACCAAAAGCCAACCAACGGCGGGAGAATCCGTAAAACAACCACGCCGTTGTGGGACCCCGAGGACCAAAGGGTAAATCAATGTCGCCTGACTTGGCCCTTGCTGCTGCCGACGCATCACCGCCTTCGCGCAATTTCGCCCCCCCAAATCGCACGAAGAGGGCTATTGGATGGGCTCCACAAAGCCTCAAGAGACCCCACAGGCGGCCCAGAAAGTCCCAAATCGCCCCAGAGGATCCCAAGCCGGCCAACAAAAACTTCCAAGGGGGCTTTCAAGCTGCTTGAAGAGACTCTCAAGACGGGCTTACTCGCAAAACGCGTATTAGCGTGGCGACGGTGATCTATCTATCTCTCTCTGTGTCTCTCTCTCTCTCTTTCCTTCTCTCTCTCTCTCTCTCGCTCTTTCTACTATAGATACGAACATGCACCCACTTACGTACACCCAAGTGACTCGAATCACTGCAAATATGCCTGACGACGGCCCTGGCGACACAATTACGGGCGCACCCGAGCTCTCTTGGGCGAGTCGTGGCGCTCTCGGGGGCGCCCAGCGTGGCCTTCCCAGAAGTAAGAATTATCAAGCACCATTGTTCACCAAACTCGAGCTGGCCAAGAACCCTCGACTGCCAGGGTGGCCCCTGAGACCGCCCAAAGGCCCTGAGGCCCCCCAAAGGACCCCACGAGGCATCAACCCACTTAAACTCCCAAGCGGTCTTCACTTAAATTCGCAACTCCAATGTAAATTGTAGCTTGACGTCGTGGAACTGTAAATGCATGATCCCGTTCTCCTTGACATGCCGAACAAATTTATCAACCGACGGATGGGTGAGATGTGGTAATCTTTCGCGAATCAGATGAAGACTTTGTCGTCAAGTCCACCCTATGCACGTTCTGTCAATCGCATCTCGACAATTCTGCATGTCTTGTTGTGTGCAGAACCTTGTTTGTGCGCGTCCATCCGCAAATCTAGGTTTATGCACACCTTCCTTCCGAACGGAATCAACATGATGGATACGACATATCGGTCGAAAAGATACGCACCAAACTGATGCAACGAACAATCGCGCAATCGCAAGACGGAAAAACATGTTACCGTGCTTAACGGACTGCGCTTGCAAGCCTGGCCAAGCCGCCCGAGCCAAGTCAGACCTCACAAATCCATAGCAGACCAAACCAGACCGTGTCGGCGGACCACACAATTTTCATACAATTGCAACCATACAAGGCCTGAGCAAACAAGAACAACCAGACCACACCACAACAGACCAAACCAAATCAAGCCAAACCAACCTAGAGCAGGTTGCACCAGACCAGGCTGAAAAGGGGCAAGATGAAGGAGGAATGAGCCGGGCGACTCAAAGAAAAGAGATGGCGTGACATGTTGCAGGAAAATTGGTGCCTCCGACGCATCGCAAATGATAAACGTGATCGCGGTATCCCGGGCCAGCCGGATATATGGTAAGCGTATTTCTATGCGAGATGTTCGAACCAGTGCGGTATCAGCCGATACAAAACTATACGGTAGAAACGAAACCACAATATGCTCACGCTGACGTCAATGTGAATCGCTGGTCTGGGTGCCAATGCGATTGCACGTGAGATTCTGGTAATGTCCACCCACGGATCACGGGCGTCAGCGTCTGACGGCGACCATGCAGGAATGCGGAAGCGGATGCTTCCACGGATTATCACCGTAGTGCGTTCGATATCGGGATTGTCCGTCGCCCGACTTCCCGAAATCAAAATGTTCAACTATGCGCATGCGTCTGTCGTCAATGCATCTAGCTGAAGAAAGAATGTGGCGCGTCATGGCTCCATGTTAGAACAGCGGGCGCCATTGCGCACAGCTCATCCCTGCGCTTGGGAAAACTTGCTTCCAAAGCGTGAGCATGTTCAACGCCCCACACTGTTACCGAAACGCCCGAGTCAAAACCAAGTAACATTGGAGCAGGCGCGGAAGCCTTATCCAAGCCTGCTGCCTCACAGAATCCAAGACACATGAAGTATGCATGCCCGCAAAGAAAAAAAGCTCAACACCTCGACCCAGGCATGTACATCCATAGTGGTTCGACCGCCATTGCGGCACTCCCTGCTGGCGCCCGAAACTCGCCTGAGCCCAAACGAGAGAAGCGACAGACTCGCAGTGTGTGGAAGCGGAACGCGAATATCTGCTAACTGGTAAGCATTTTCCAGCTGTGGGGCTTGAGGATTCCCATATTGGGGTTCTTGCCTTCTCTAGGCGCCCCCACGCAGGAACGCCTCAACCATCCCCGTATTATTACAGGCATCGACTGTCATCACCACCAACATCACCAACAAATGGTGCTCCCAAGCATGAAGGTACTGTCACTTTTGACACCTGGTGCTCCAAGGTGTCTCCTTTGGCGCCCAACCGTACCTCGACTTGTCGTCACATTTTGGCTTCCCTTCAGGGCCCATAGCTCATGTTCGTAATCCGAGGCTGATGTCGAAATCAGGCGCAACATATACAATGTAAAATCGACCTCGGGCCCACTTTGTCTTGTAAAAGCAATATGATGCGGACCACCCGAACCCAGGGCGACTGCAACATATAGAATACATGACAAAATCTCCTACTGTTCAAACCTGGTCCTCATATGCAGCTCCTTTCTGTCGCACCACCCAACGTGTCATTAGGTCGGGCCGGGCGTTTCGCTTGAGATGTCTTTCCTGCTTGCGCTCCTGAAACTTGAAACTTCCAACAATTACACGGCTGCGAAGCGGTTACTTTTCAAAACGGGGCTTTCGCCTTGGCGCCGCGCACGCGCGTCGTAAGGAAACTGGGCAATTGCACGGATGGAAGGCGGTTCATTTTCATGCTGGGCTCCCGCATGGGACTGCCCGAGATCTAATGTCAAGAAGTTCCAAAGTGTGAGACATGTGCACGGGAGGAGGGTGTCTGACTTTCAGACTTGTGCTCTCGATCTACTTTGCATCACTACTTTACCTTGAGCTTTGGACATGTGCAAACGATGGCGGATATAGATGGGGATGATGACGGCACTGGATTTTCTCCGTGTAGAACCGCCAGCGCGCAAACGGTGATGAGTATCGAGGAGAAGAGGACATGACGTTTCTGAAGAATAACGCGGCTCCCACGACCCTAACCCTTGGTTGCTTCATCAAGAAACACGTCTCGGTGATTTCGTGGTCGTTACATTCAACAATAAGCATTTCCACGATTGTCTGTGCGCGCTGAGCATCTGACAACATGTGCCAATAAGAACAAACTATTATTGAATGTGTTATGCTTGTGGCTTGAAGCTTTGGGGTGTACGACTTTGACTTCGCCGTGAAAACCGTGCCATGTCTACACGTCCCAAAATGACGATGCCATTGACAACGCAGAGGTTGGCGAGGGAGAGAAATATTTGATCATGGCCATGGCCACTGTGCAAGACGAGGCTCTGGCAGCTGGCCCTAGCGAGCGCGCGAAAATCATCTTGTACAAGCGCGGAGCCGTGCCATACTGCTCTGGGACTGACTGGTTGTCTTAACTACAACTACACCGCATGGGTTTGAAATCCGGACGCGTCGGTGTTGAGTTGTCATGGCAAACCCGCCAACACCCGCGTGCCGTGGGTGACGCCCCCACATGCCGTGGGAGCCAAAGCGTGTAGGATTTTTGGACTTCCAATTTTGTTTCAACCGGACCGGGGGGGGCCCCAAAGGTCACCAGGATAACTCCAATATGCCCGAACGTAGCCCAACATGGCAGCTATAACCATCAAAGACGGCCCAATATAGGTCATGATTTCCTCCACGCTGGTTCTAGCCGCTAACCCCCACAGCTCCGAAACATGCTTCAACAAAAAGCGACGAATTGGACCGCTTCACTAAATCGCCAAAACAGGCGGCGAATTCGACCGTTTCACTAGATCGTCAGAACATTAAGGATTTGTGCGCTCCAGTCGCCTGTCGCTGTAGGGCTCTGATACGGCTGGCAAAACGCCAGGACCTCTCCCGCGAGTGTCGTGGCAGGATCTGACCTGCAGTCAGTTTCGTGTCTCTCTGAACCGGATATCCCCCGGAGCATTTTTGATGGAATTGTGATGGGGTGTCTTGTAAGTAGGTATCCAGCGGGAGCCCCGATTGTGATTGAAGCAGGACAACTTCTAGAGCGGGAGAGATTTTTCTTGCGGTAATACATGATACATGAGCCTTTTCAGGAACATGTCAAAAGCTTCGTGCTCGTCTACTTCCTTAGGCGGGGCGACCTCGCTGACCATTGGATCATTGCTATGGTCACCATGACGGCAGCCCCGTTAGCTAACAGCGCAGTTGCACCTGCGAGCTATAAACTTTATCGCCCCTGCAATGACGTCGGCGGCGATGGCGGACGCAGACTCTGACGACGAAACTATGATTTCGACATCGCGTTGCCTAATGCACGCCAAACCCTTTGCCGCGTTCCAGCAGGCTTCCGCCGCCGACGCCAGTCGGTGTTCGCGGCCAGAGACAACTCAGTCTGTTGAGAGGGCCGCATTAAAACCCCACGGCCGGCCAACTTTGATCCAGAAATGCTTGCGCAAGAGAGAATGAGAAACAGAAAGAGAGAAAGGAAACGGGGAGAAAAACACCCGGCAGAGGGGCGCGCAGGGACGGAGCGGCACGCGCAGTTCCTGGAGCCAAGACAGCCAGAGCCAAGCACTGTGTCAAACGCTTGGGCACAACGCGCAGTGTTAACAACATATCAGTATCATTACCATCGTGATAACGTCGACGGCGATGGAGAAGAGCAGACCCGAGCCGCCATGATATGCTCTCGGCACCGCTCTGCGAGAACTGCGGTGCCCAGCGGCTCTCCCGTGTCGCGCGTCGCCACGGCGGTCGACGCCGCGGACGCGTCCTCGGTGCCGCCGGGCGCGCCTGCGGCATCCTTCAAGCTCTGTCTGAGCCTGCTGCGGGCGGAGGCAAAGAACAGCTCCGGGCGGCGCCAGAGTCCCTGTCGCGACGCCAGTCGCAGTCGCTGCTGGTTGGGCACCGCGCTCTTTGTTGAGTAACAATGCCGCACACTTCGTGCTTATCCTTTTCATCCTTAATTGGGCGGGGCGACTTCGCTGATGACTTGATCATCGTGATGATCACCATCATCTCAGCTCTGTTAGCTGGCAGCGACGTATCACGAATTAACTATGTCCACATCGCCCTCGTAATGACGTCGTAAACGATGGTATAATCGGATTCGACGCTGCTATGATCTCGACGTCGCGTTGCGTGACGACCCCCCCACTCGTTTGGCGCACTCCAGCAAGCCTCCACCGCCGACGCCGGTCGACGTCGGGCCGGTGGTGCAATTTTTGCGTGCCCAGTCCATGTAGTGCTGGTCCGTCTTCGACCTCGCGACGTGGGCTGGAAGTTTGTTCACGAGGTGGTAACTGTCCACCTTCTCACCGCTGTCCCGCGCCTCGAAGCTTCCTCGCGAAGGACTCTTTCCGGCGACCAGCTCTGGCTGCCATTGAAAAGCAAGGCCTCCCGCGGGGGAGAAAGAGGTCGGCGCGCCCTGCGACGAGACGCGCGGCGTAGCGGACGGCGGCCAGTTTCTGATTGTTCGCCCCCCTCTTTGCCCCAAATGCGCGCGCCAGGGCCGCGAGAGCTGCGCGGGAATCCACTGGGGCGTCCTCGTTCGTCATGCGCTCCCTCCCCTGGCCAGGCATCCGCGGGGGTTCCGATTGGCCGCGCCTGAAGGCAGCCCGCTGGCGCCGAGTTTCTTCGTGGCCAGCGTGAATTTTCTCGAGGGGCTTCTGGGCCAGCACCTCTATTTTCAGGCCCTGCAGCCGTCGCCCGAAACATTTCCCGCTGGCAGATGGAGAAACCGCGCGCCGGGCTCTCCCTCGTTTGCCTGGGGGCAAGGGGTTTCGCGAGAGCCGGCGGCGGCCCTTCCTTCGCCTTCTCGTCCTTCTCATTTTGCGGGCTTGTGGGCGTCGCAGTGGCGGCGCCCAGGTCTTGTCTCTGTTTTTCGCATTGTCCGCCAGCATGTGCGTCGCGTCGACCTCGATTTGCTGGAAGCGCGCCGCGCTGCCATTGCGATTGGCCTTGTGGGTCTCGTCCAGGGGGCCCCCTGCGCACTTTCGGGGCGGTTGCTGGCGCATCAGTCGTCGCGGCCCACGCGCGGAGCTAGCGGCGGGTGGGGCCCCGTGCCGCCTGCTCCTCTGGGTCGCATCACCCCGCCGCCCTGTCGCGTGGCCCGGCCTGGACGGCCGCGGCTGCTGCTTCCAAGGGGGCCTTCGCAGCCTCGGGAGGTAACGCCTTCGCGTCTGCTCCGAATGTCGTCGGCGGCGGAGCCGCTCGCCAGACGCCCCCTCCAGTCCTCGTCCTTGCCCCGCTGGGCGCGCCAGACTTCGGGGGGCGTGGGCGCTCGCGCCCAGCCGCGGGCGCTGTCCTGCTCGCGCGGCAGCGCAGTCCCTGTCCTGGCGGGGTCCAGTCGTGTCCAGCGGGCCGTTCCCCGTTGTCCATCGGCAGAGTGCGCCGCGTGCTGTGCGACGTTTAATGTGAGGCGCCCCGGTGTCTTCGGCAGGAGCGGGTTTCCCGTCGACCTGACTTTGTGGTCCTGCAGACGACCTGTCTGCGCAGATCGAGCCACTCGAAATCGTCCTTGCCACCTGGCTCGAGATGATGCTTGACCCTGTGGGCTGCGCGCCCATCTGTTGGTATCGCGACGCCCGCCAAGCCCTTTCCCTGCGCGCCATGTCTGGCCGCCAGCGCCCGCGAGGTCCGCCCCCAGTGGCGCCCCCGTGCTGGGCGCAGGCGACTCCGACTCGGTGGCCCCGTATAGTTGAGACGGCGAGGCGACCTCTATATCTTCGCCGCGTGCATGTCGCCAGCGCCTTGACCAATGGGCGATCGCGAGATGCGGCCGCCGCGAGCTCCATGTTCTCGAATCCGTCTGATTGGTACCGATCAGGCTGCCGAGCGCGCGAGTCGAGCCCCGCCGCGGGCGGGCAAGCGGCGCCGTCCCAGACTTCGCGAGGCCACGGCGCCTCACGTCGACCTCGGCCAGCGGGCCCGACTCGCCGTGTAGGCGCAGGAGCCTGTCGTGCGCCTCAGCCACCATCTG